GCTTCCTAAAACTAATTTTATTTTATCGCTTCTATCTTTAGAAGCAGAATTATCACTGTTCTTGTTCTATGCCGTGAGCCGAAAGTTTCTGTTTAAGAACCCAGAAGATGGTGTCTAAAGGTATAGGACTACTCAATACAACTTTAAAATGAGAATTTTTTATTTGAATACGTTTCCTCATATTCAAAAAAATAATTTTAAACATTTCTATTTGTTATTATGTGCTCGGGAATAAGATTAATTTTGCAATTTAAATTTATTACTCGGCAAGATTTTCTTTTCCTTCTGTTTGTGTTTGCGTTATATTATACCTACGTTTTGAAAAACCTGATTTTTTACAACTTTCCTGTTACGAAAACAGCGTTGACTTAAACATTACAATAGTAATTTTATGAAAATTTTCAGAAATATTTTATGAAATATTGTGAATTAAATGGACTAAAAGTTTAGGTTTATGTTAGTATCTAAAATTTTTCAAACAATTTTGTAATTGAAAACAGAGAAATTTCTCGAAACATAGCTAGTGCATGAAGTATATTTAACAGACATTTTACATTAACACTTAGATTTCAGTCCATATAACTCCTTACACCTTAATAAATATAAGTGACAAAAAGTAAAATGGTGATAAATACTTTTGCGGGAACGTATCTAGTAATCCTGAAATTTAGCAAGTTTTTAACACAAAATGTGAAAAAAAGTACACTTTGATAATATGTTAATCTGTAGTTTCTATTATTTTAGGTAGTACTCTGCAAAATAACACCAATAATAGATTTATTTGCACTATTTTCCAAAATTTGTCTGTCGAACGTAGTTATATACCATAATCTTAGAAGCAAACTCGAACTTCATAACTGCATCATACAAGTGGCAGCTAAAGAATTTCACCTGCTAAAGAATTTCACCAATCAAGTGGCAGCACAATCACTTTGAAGAAGTCTAATGATATTTAAAAAAACGAGACAAAGTAAGAATATTTCTTAATTCGTGTTCAGACTTCAGAAGAGTAAATAATCGTTACAGATTTAAATGTATATGTTCACCTGTCCAATGACAAATATGCTATAAAAAATAAGAAAAGTTCTATGATGCCACATTTGGAAAAAGGACATTCTAACAATGCTATAGCTTTTACACACATTTTAGCATTATTTTAAAATCGAAAATACATTTTTATTTATCTCATATAAGAAGCACTGCAAGAATATATTTAAAAAACGACTTGTTTGTTTTTTTAAGGTCGTTTACTTTCTGTTTAAATAAATTCGTTATATGAGACTGAGAAGTTGTTTACATGCCTGTTTAAATAATTACTTTAAATTCTTTAAATTACATTTTATAATAATTTGGAAACAGTTAATTCAGATAAAGGGGAAGGAATGTCGCATATTTATTATTAATGATTAGCCGATTCCAGTGGAAGTGTTCAGCGCGCTGTTTATACTGCCGGACACAAATGGTTACCAAGAAACAAACTTTACAGATAAAAGCGTCGAATTACAACAATTCGGAATTTCGATTAGAAAATTTCACACAGAATTCTGTGCGGGGATACCATACTGTAATCAAAACGATTTAATTTTGCACTATTTAAAATTTTAAGAAGTTAGTTCTAACTACACAGTATAACAATAGCAGTAATTTTAAAAAAAAGTTTTTCAGTTGAACGAAAATACCTTGAAAAATGTACACAGAAAAATTTTAATGAGATCTGCTGAATAAATGAAAAATTTGGAAATATGAAAAATGATTTATATGGATTTAGAAAAATTCAACATTCTCCATACTTTAAAATAGGTTAGAAAGATTAATAGAACACACAAATAAAAAATAATTACAAGTAGTGTATAAGCTATGTATAAATTTTTTTTTTTTTTTTTTTTTTTTTTTTAAATGTCGGGCACGAACTATTTCGACTTTTGCCATTACTAAGGGCAGAATTGGTAGTCATTTTACTATGGAAGCACCTAATAGGCGGTTATCCTTACCTGCTATGAGGGAACAGACAATTTACATTCTTCTCGGAGATTTGAATCTGGACGTTTCGGTATCGCAGTCGGCTTCCCTAACAATTTTTATCAATACGCCAAAAACAGCAAACGTTATTATCACTATTTACAGATCTATCACAGAATTTATTAATTTTAGGGCTTGGAGAATAATAAATATATTCATTACCTTCAAAAAATGAAAATTTCATAATTGTTGAAGTCGAAAGAATTTGCATCTACGATACGGCGACAAAATGCACACCGATTCTGTTATTTAACATCTGTAAAGTTTCTATTTCCACTATTTTAACCTTTTTAGCAACAACTAATCATACGACAATAAATGCATTCTTAAATGTTGTTGTTAATTCTTAGCATAAATCATCTTTTTTACTTCCTTGTACGAAGTAAAAAGGAAGTATTGTAATCGCCAAAAGTTTCAGGCAGCATATTTCAACGAAAATATCCATTTTAACCGCTATCGAATGCAATTTAACGATGTCTTTGCGTGATATCTGTACGTAAGGACAGAATAAAATACTCTTTTCCTTCAAAAAAATTATAAAACTGCTTTAAAATTAATTCTGAAGAGAATTTTTCGTGGCGTCTGTACGAACGTATGTACGTACGTACGTATCTCGCATAACTCAAAAACGACTAGCCTCAGAACGTTGAAATTTTGCATATAGGACTGCTATAACATGTAGATGTGCACCTCGTATTTTGGTTGCAATCGGCCGCACCAAAACGTATATAAATATATTATATATATATATCCACTCTATTACCCGGCTCAGTGATCTCAGTTTCTTTTACTCTTATATGTTTGTAATTGTACATTTTTTGCTTTAAAAATGATTGAATTATGTTGTTTTTATCTTCCGGTTAAGGATTTTATGCCTTTAGTAAATCTGTGTGCAATATTTTTAGAATTATCAGCAATTTTAAAGTTGTTTAATTGCCGCTAAGCCTGTTTATAAAGGCGGCCATTGATGTTTACATTTGAAACAGGAGACTAGTGGATTTGTTGCCAATCTAGAGAAACTTAGCTTCGCAACAACAAAGATAACGCATTCATTTATTATTGCCAATTAAATCATGCTTAATTCTTTCTGGAATTTTTTCGAGAAAATAAGCGTTTGAAATTTACTTCGTAATTTTTAATACAGATATTTTGAGTTTTTATGTATTTTTGCCTTCTCGCGAAGTGAGAACTGAATTAATTAAATGAGAAATACTCAATCGTCTGTGAAAAACTGTTTCTGTTTTGTTTGCTTAATTTCTTTTATACATAGTTCGAGCTTTATTATAGTATTTGAATAGAACATGTGGCAACGATTAGATAATTCTTTAAATGATATACATTTTGTGCATTCTGAGTTATAATATGAATAAAATGTAATACTGTTAAGTAAACCTAGCGCCAGAGTGTCGCTATGGTAAACAAAGTGAATTTTAAAGAATGCATTTATTCTATTGTGGTTTATGCGCTGTCGGCGAAGTAGGTTTAATTCAATCTAATAAGTTTAAATAAAATGCAAGAAAAAATGCGTATAATTTAATTTTCCGTACAAGGAAGTCATGTGGTGTACACATCAGATTTTTTTTTAAAAATTCCTACACCTTTTTTATCTTCTTGAATGAAATAATATATACATTGCCAGAACACGGCTTTTCATTTTTAATATTTAATAATAATTTATCAAATACATAGAGGTTTTCGTCTTAAACTTCTTATTAATAATAATTAAAAGCACCTTACATCTATACTTTTAAATGTACATCATGTTATGTAAGCTAACAACTTACTTATTTCATTACCAACATAAAAAGTAAAGAACAGCAGTTTGAGACCAACCTTACAGGCTGGAAGTGATAAATGGTAGAGAAGCGAAAGGTCTATCACTGAATATAAAAATAACTTGATTACTACGGTCATTTGTTAATCTAACTTGATGGCGTAGGATTTTTTAAAAATATAAACATGGAATAAATTAGCATTGGTTAGTCCGATAATTGGTATTGACAGATTGATTGTTTTGGTACCAATTCAATTCGCTGTCTAAAATTTAAAAGAAAAAACGAAAAAGGGAAGTCCAATAATTGGCATTGACAGATTGATTATTTTGGCACCAATTCGCTGTCTGAAATTTATAAAAAAAAGGGGAGGAAGAAAAAGGGAATAAGAAATAATAAAAGGGTTTCAGATTTTAAAATTTGCCCAAAAGGGTTTGTCAAGGTTTTTTACGCTCTCGCTGAGCTTGCAGTCTATCAGTCTGCCCATGCACTCAGTCCCGCTAACCCCCTTTCTTGGGAGAGGGTCTCTAGCTTTTGTTTTCTTCTCACTTACGCCATATACAGTTCAACAACAAAATCGTAAAAGTTTTTAAGAGCTGCGTAGCATCATATGTTTAGAATTCCCCATGCAGAATTACGTATCGAGTGCATACATTTTTATATTTTTTCAGTCTTTTCTCAGTTTTCTTATTAATATTCAATTTTCTTGGTAAGACACTTCACAAAAAAATTGTTTTGTCTTTTTTTAATTAAATTTTTATGCATTAACTTTATTCAAATATCACGTTCCTCGCACTTATGCAACATAAAATTCAATTCAACGACAAAATGACAAAATATTTAAAAACTGCATATCTTTAGAATTCCCGACAGAGTGTTAGAGGTTGCCATGCACATTTTAATATTCGTTATATTATTTCTTTAAAAACCAATCTAAAATAGTTATCATAAAAAAGTATATAATCATTTTAACGAGTCCAACTGGTGTAATGTCATAAAAATATTGAATATATCTAATTAGAAGTCTCATGGTTTTAATACACGTTAAGTCGATCGCATTTAAATATATAAAAAATATAAAAAAATACTCTTAAGAAATATGTTTATTGCTTTTAAATCGCTTAATTTATTCCTGAGTAACATTTCAGATTAAATTTGAAAGTATCTTAGCGTTTAATGTATAAGGTATTTCTCCCACCTTCGTAGCGAGCTTTCGTGGTGTAGTGGTCAGCACACTCAGCGCATAACTGAGAGGTCCGCGGTTCGATTCCCGGCGAAGGCGTTGCATATTTTTCCTCTTGCCTGAATCCAAAAAATACCAAATGTCTCTACAGTGACGCCCGAACTAAAACGGGTGTTGGATGATGATTCTCCTCACCCAAGATTTGGCGATTGGGTTCCCCTAAAAAAAACCGTAGCCCTTTAAAAGAGGGAGTATATAAGGTACTTCTCCCAGCATCTTAGCGAGCCTTCCTGGTGTAGTGGTCAGCACACTCAGCGCCTGATTGAGAGGTTCGCCGTTCGGTTACCGGCGAAAGCGTTGCATATTTTTCATCTTGCCTGCTTCCAAAAAATAACTAATATCTCTACAACTGAATGGAAACATGCTGGTACAGAGAAAATAAAAGCATTTTATTTCAAACCGCGGCACACTACTTTCACACAGCCTAGTTTATTAATTAAAACTGAAAGATGCTGATTCTAAATAAATGCGAAAAGCATTTTTTAACTCAAAATCTAAATTACTACAATTCCCTCAATTTACATCGTATAGAAAATATTACAGAGCATTTGAAAATAAAAATAAATATACGGATAAACAGCTACGGTCCATTAAAAACATAAAAAAGAAGCGGAACCGAGAGTCTGATATCTTTCATTAATACATTCTTTTTTCAAACTTAGCAAATAAAAGGAGAAAAAAATGAATATGAAAAATTCTGAAATGTGCGGAAGTATTCAGATATGCAATTATTTCACTATTTCACAGGAAGGAGGGACAGCAAGTTTGACTTCACTATTTCCAAGGGCTGGTGCGGCACCTCAGATGCCGATACCGGTTCTACTCTCCTCCCCAAATACAAAAACCGCCCAATTGTGGTTATGATTTCATCACTGTGACCTTCTACAAAGGAAACATAGCTATGTTTTGCGTGTTTTTACGATTTCCGTCTTTTTCCTCAAGAAAGGAAATTTCTAACAAAGTTAAAAATAGAATTGGATTTGAATGAAGAAACCTACACATTTTACTGTTCTACTATGCAAAATGCAACAGTATTTCTGTTAAACAACCGTAAATTGAAACCGACAAGACCTGTTTAAATAATATTACTTAAATGATAGTGAACAAAAAAAATCTCACTTTGACAAAAACGATAAAAAAAAAGTTTTAACATCATAAAATTCCTTACAGAATCGTTTGTTCATTGCTACGTACGATATAAAAATGGAGATCAATGTATTTTTTTTTAATCTTCACTCTTCATTACTTCATTATATTTTAAACCTCAATTCTTTCATAAATCGATAGATAAAATAATTTTCATGAAAGTTTTTAAAGACAATATAATCCATTTTACAGTCTTCGAAAACGAATGCCTAGATTGTAGAGTTAAGTGTTAAATGCTGAGAGATAAACATATAATTTTTTGATAAAGTATATATGATAATGATGTAGATAAAAATTATCAGCACCGAAACCTAAAGTAAGAAGGTGTAGACCAGAGATCCGCACACTTTTTTATTAGTCAAACATAAAAAAGAAGAAATGCGGCAGTTAGACAGGTGCCGTGCGGTGGATACAATAATAATAAAATCAATGTTAAATAAAATAAATATTCAACAAAAATAATAAAAACTATAAAATAATTATTAAAAAAATGAAAGAATAATAAAAAAAATCTGAAAGGTTTCAGATTTTATATTACGTCAAAGGGGCGTTTTTTCACGTTTTGTGTGTTACCTTAATTTATTAAATATCATGTTCTTTGTACTTAAACCATAAAATTCAGTTCAATAGCAAGATCACAAAATTATTCTAAAATGAGCATATCTTTAGAATTTCCGATACACAGTTCCGCGCGCTGGAGATGAAAAAGTGTTTTTTTACCGGTAGAGTGTTGCCAGTGCTCGCTTTGAAATCGTTTAGTTTGTTACTCAAAAATTCGTTAAAGTTTTACAAAATATGACGAATCGATCAATAAACCAATTCCAAATTTCAAATTTGAGCTTCCACATGCCCATATTCGCAGGAGGATTACGTCATTCAAAATTCGATGGCTCTAGGTACCGTTGTTTTATCACAATGCGAGAAATATACATACATTTATGTAGACCTTTCATTATTTAATTTCTTCAAATATAATGGAGGACTCTAACATTTGGTGGCAACAGTTTGAAAAGTGAAACGGACATTTATAGTGATTCAACGCAAAATCGCAAAATGGAAACAATAGTACTTCAGGGACAAAGCCCCTTTGGACTAATAATAATCATAATAATATAAAAAGGAAAAATCTTATGTGTACACCACGACTTCCTTGTACGGAATATTAAATTATATGCATTTTTTCTTGCATTTCATTTAAACTTTACTGGATTGAATTAAATTTACTTCGTAAATAGCGCATAAACCACAATAGAATAAATGCACTCTTTAAAATTCACTATATTTGTTTACCACAGCGACACTCTGGCGCTAGGTTCACATAACAGCGTTACATTTCGTTCATATTATACCTCAGAATGCATATAAATTTCTATCATTTGAAGAAATATCTAATCGTTACCACATGTTCTATTCAAATACTATAATCAATCTAAAACAATGTATAAAAGAAATTAAGTAAACAAAACAAAAAAGAACTAGTCTTTCACAGAAGATTCAGTATTTCGCATTCAATTAATTGAGTTCTCACTTCCCGACAAGGCAAAAATACATAAAAACTCAAAATATCTATATTAAAAATTACGAAGTAAATTTTAAACACTATTTCCTGGAATAAATTCCAGAATGGATTAAAGATGATTTATTTGGCAATAATATTTGTTGTTGCGAAGCTTAGTATCTCTAGATTGGCAACAAATCCGCTATTTTGCCAAGTTTAAAATGTAAACAAACATGTCCGCCATCATAAAAAGTTTAGGCTTAGCTGCACTTAAACAACTTTTAAATTGTTGATAACTCTACAAATATTGCATGTAGATTTACTAAAGTATAAAAACCGTAACCGGAAGATAAGAACAACATAATTCAATCATTTGTAAAGCAAAAAATGCACAACTTTCAAACATATAAGAGTTAAGAAACTGAGATCACTGAGCCGGTTAACATAATGGATACGTTTGGTGAGGCCGATTGCAACCAAAATACGAGGTGCACATTTACATGTATAGCAGTCCTATATACAAAATTTCAACGTTCTGAGGCTACTCGTTTTTGAGTTATGCGAGAAATGTACGTACGTACAGACGCCACGAAAAATTCTCTTTAGAATTCATTTTAAAGCAGTTTTCTAGTTTTGAGGAGAAAACAAGTCTCTTATCCTGTCCTTACGTACAGATGTCACGCAGAAACATCATTAAATTGCATTCGATAGCCGTCAAGATGAATATTTTCGTTGAAATATGATGCCTGAAAATTTTCGCGATTACAATACTTCCTTTTTACTTCGTACAAGGAAGAAAAAAGCAAAAGCCCGAAAGGTTTAGATTTTATCGGTCACCCAAAAGGGTTGGTTAAGGTTTTTTTACGCTCTCCCTGAACTCACAGTCTATCAATCTGCTGTAGCACTCACTCCTGCTAATCCATTTTTTTTCGTCTTTTAGTTTCAGTATTAAGCATCGTTTTCTTCGCCATATAAAATTCAAGAACAAAATTACAAAAAACTTTAAAAGCAGCAAACGTATGTTTAGAATTCCAGAAGCAATATTAAGTGTTGGCCTGCACTTTTTTATTTTTTCAGTCTTTCCTCAGTTTCGCAATCAAAATCAATGTCTAATTTTCTTTGTAAGATGGTTTGCGAAACTTTTATAATTAACAATTAGTGTGTTAAATTTATTAATTAAATATCACAATCTTCCAACTTACACCACAGAAAATTCAATTCAACAGTAAAATGACAAAATATTTAAAAACAGCATATGTTTAGGATTTCCGATATACAGTCTCAAGCGCTGCAGATAAAAATGTTTTATTCCATGCAGTGTTGCCACTACTCGCTTTCAAAATTGTCGACTTTGTTTATGATATTTTCACCTTTTCTCCACATGCCTTACGTGATGTAACTGGAAGCACGCTCGATGAGTATTCGGAAGGTCCGGAGTTCGAATCCCGGAGACGGCATTGCGGATCTCTTCAGTTTCTTGTCTTAAAAAAATTATAAACGGTCTCTAGCGTGGCGTACGAACTAAAAGGTGGTGGATGATAATTCGTCACCCTCAGGATTTAGAGATTGGCCTCCTCATCTCCAGTCGCCTTTTAAAAGAGGGATTATATAAGGTATTTTCTCCCTCCTTTCCGCATCCCTTCGTAGGGTAACTGGAAGCACGCTCAGAGCGTAGTCGGGATTTCCGGGGTTCGAATCCCTGCGACAGCCTTGCACATTTTTCATATTCCAGCATCGATATAACCTACTGCGAAAGTTCGGGTGGGGGACTACGTTATTCAGAATTTGCTGGTTTTTCACAATGCCAGGAACATATACACATAAATGCAGATTCTTCATTATTTAGTTTTCTTTAAAAATATTACAAGGCGATAATATTCGGTGGCAACAATTTGAAAAGTGATACAGCCGTTTATAGTAGACGACGCAAAATCTCGCTTCGAAAGTAATAACCCGTTCGGGTTAATACACCAATAAGAAATATATAATTATATAAAAATACGAGTTAATTTATATGGATTTGTATAAGTTGTAAAGTTCTAAAAGTTTTTTTGGTATTGTGAAAACGTTTATGAAAAAATGTTGCCATAGTATGTTATGTTTCTCATAACTGTTGCTGGCCAAGAAAGAAAACTGGAGGTTGTTGTTTTGCAAATGAAATAAGTTGTTAATACTCTATTGTCCACTGAAATGAAATTATTTTCTTAGGACTAACCATTGCAAAAGCATCGTTGCCTTCTTTTCTTAATCTTTTAATATGAAGAGAAGAATGCATACCCTGCATAAAAATTCATGAAATGATAATTTATGTACGAACAGAGGTTACAGATATAACGGAGTTGGATGATGGATACAGAATATAGTTCACTGTAAGTGGAATGAGATGTTTCTAGAA